ATTATGAACATTTATTTTTAGCATACTTGAAAGTGAACGCCATGATTCAACACCTTCAACCACGAATTCATCTAGTCCTGATACAGCTTTTTGTTGAGATGGTTTAATACTGTTCAGTATATCTTATAATTTGCTTCTGCATAAACCTTCAAAGCCGCTTTCATCCCAATACCTCTTATAGTTAAGAGTTGCGTGTGCTTTTTGCGACTGAAGTATTTGCTTTGGGAGCTCACACTTATCACCGTTATCCATTCGTAGAACAGTCAATCCATAAGTTCCTGTTTAGTAAAAATTGAAATGATAGTAAAGTATTCAGCAAAACAAAGAAGAATGCTGATAGTCACCCTAAACGAGAGTGTTACTTTCAACCAGCCAATTAACAAAATGTTTAATCTTTTCAGGGTCTGCGCGCTGTCTAATAAGCTTTTCAGTGTCTTCTTTCAATATAAACTGCTGCACATCTTATGAGCCTCTTTAATGGCATGTCGTGATACACCAAAAATGTTCATTATCTTTTGATATTCCCAGGAACGAGGCAGCATAGACAGAAGTCGAACTTGTTCCATAAACGGCATTCCATGTTCGATATAAGAATCATATATTCGCTTAAGATTTTGAATCATTTCATTGTTGATTGTTTCATGAAGCAAGTGAGAGTCTGCCATGTCTACATCAGGTTCATCTAGCTGTATGAACGTTTCACCTTGTCCGGGAGCCATGGCATGTACCATTTTCTCTGAAAGTTACACGCATAACCACTTTCAAAGAAACTTTTACAATTTTTACATACTCTCGATGACTTTGATTGCGTTGCTTAGTTTCGATTTCATTCGACGAAGGCTACTCTTTGAGTACAAATCTAATCTTTTTCTTGTTTGGGATCGAATCGGACTCAAATTCGCTTCAGCAAGAATTCGATTCATAGATTGACGTGAATCATCAATAGTGAATTCGGATCCACGTGTGAAATTCAAACAAGATGTGAGTGGTCCTAATGACTCAGAACCGGGAACCGTCAATATCTCTTTTCTATGTTTTGAGCATCTTCTAAATAAGAACGATTTGATCTAAATATTTCACACAATAAATATTATTACTTTCCCCCCACAGGAAACCTTTCAATTTTAGTGCAGATGCTCATATTAGCACGGCGACAGTCACGAGGAGAAGAGTTCGCTTTTGTTGCATGATCAGGATGGTGACATGTAGATTTCGCATCATACCAATCTATCCCATATGAACTTCGATGCTTTGGACAAATTGACATCGAGTCATCAATTAAGATATCTTTTGATCGTAATCTATTTGTGATCAGGTTTCTTTTGTTTATGATAAAATCGTCATCTTCCATTCTCGAAATAACTTTTTTACGCTTTAGATATGCCCGTATATCAATATCTCTAAGTGAAGAAAATCTAATATAAGTATGCGGCCAATCCCGGTGGTCTGTGAATAAATAAATATATATTGGCATAAACTGCTAAAAATCCTTACAATGCGTTGTGCTGCCACAGGCCGCCACGCTCGAGTTACCCCATAGGCAACAAGTATCAAATTTGGGTTCGATCACTTGAATACGATAAAAAAATTCATTCTCGTCTGCTTGAACTTCACCATGATTTATTAAGCCTAAAATCATTAGAAATCTCTAAACATATTGCATGTCCCAATGAAACAGACTGGCAGATAATTCTTTGACGCTTTTTTCGTTTTCAGACCCATCTTCATGATCAGAAAACAGTCTAATGTACTCTGGAAACATGTTTGCAGAATCAGCGGAATTATTTGAATGTAGATACTCATCGAATACAATATGTTCATCTTGACTTTCATCTTTAGTGAGACATACTGAAATATTACATGAGGTATCCATTAAAGATATATTTGTTAAAACGGTAACTTCTGCAGCTTGTTGTTCAATAGTATTGATTAAAGATATGTTGCTTGAACTCCGCGCAATATCACCTTGAGTAATTGTTGACTCGTAGAATTCACTTCCAATTGATGACATATTGATGTTTGATTGACATTGAAGTGAGTTTTGATTAGAGACTTCTAACATATCAGACATGGTATCAGCAGTAGATAAATTAAATAACGAAGAATTCGAAAGAGTATTATAAGCATCCGAAGTATTCGTGTTCTTCTCGATTGTTGAACAAGAATCAGTTTCAATGAAAATTCTAGATGCACCATCATTGCTCATGCTAAATGTATCGTTCAATCGATCAAGAAGGTAACATGGAAGATCACGACCAGGAATATACTCGAGTTTACTTCGATTATCCATTTTAAGTAATGATTTACATGCACCAACGAAATATCTTTTTTAAAAAACTTTTTACGAAACAAAGAGACGTTATACTTTAGTATTGATAAACAAGCGTTTAGTCATACAAAAAAATGCATGATTGTTCCTTGTACAGAACCAACGCAGTACCAGATGAACAAAACGTGATATCAAAGAATAGTTGAAAATACAACAATGATTCTGTAATACTATACTAGAGCGACACATATTGTGCACTTTTTATGAATATGTATCTACTCACTTGTACACGTATTTATATACCTAATTATCTCTTTATACGATCAACAATAAACGGTAAGATTAATGAGGCGCGCTATAAATTCTATTTTCCGATTTAACTGACATTTTGTTGAAATCAAAACACCACTGACTCCCTGAAAAACTATAAATTTACTCTCGTTTCAATTAAACATTCATGAAGTACTCTTCTCAACGATTATTGCTACGATAATTTTTATTGATGCCTGTTTTCTGAAGCTGCAGTAAACTTTTGAGAAGATGCTTGTAAAAAACAATACTGCGAAGTGCAGTTATTTACCTACACATGCAGCAAAATCTGACGATTATACCTAAATTTACTTGTACTTGTAGAAAAAAATTTACAATATGAATGAGAGAATATCACCATCGTATTCAGCATAAAAAAAGTTACCTAGATTCCATAAAAAATAGTAAACCTCATTGCAAAAATTTACGCCTAATTCGTGAGTTATACACATTTCACATTTTGCTAGAAAGATGGGTCTCGTAGCCTGCCTATTCTGGAGATCCCCCGTCGGTTTCTAAATAGGATTGTATTCCATCGATAGTAATTTCTAACGATAAGGTGCAGCACCCCATGCGACCCATATCTTGGGAGATAATCTACTCCGAAAAATGACATTTTTGTGAAAATATCATTTTTTGAAGACCTGTTCTGGTCGATTAGATTCATCAAATTGTCTGAAATTTATAGGACATGTAGATCTCTAAGTGTTCTATCTGTAATTAAAATTCCAGACCTCTATCTCATCCCTATCGAGAGTAATGAAGGGTAAAACTTAGCGAAAAAACTCCATTTTCCTTATTTTTGATGACTCATAATTATCGAATAGTCTCATATTTTGGGACAAAAATTTTACCACAGGTAGAACTCACTAAGTTGTGCTTGCCTACTAA